GGGGGGGGGGGGGGGGGGGTGTTTTATCTTTAGATGAGCCATCAGAAAATATCAAGCTGTTGATTTAAAGAGGCTATGGACAGTATTTTGAGAATGACCTACTATGTGTCTCATAACTTAGCATTTGACATTGTAAAATAACTAGGTTTTATTAGTGTTGGATATGCCACAAGTTATTAATCTGAAAAGTGCCAAGAAAACATAAGGTTGAGGGTATGACTTAGGAAAAGGACTTACTCTATCAGATATTTAAGTTGATTATGAAAATGCATAAAACACAGAGTACTCCTGGTTCTGGAATAGACAGACTAATGAGAATAACAGAATACAGAGTCCAGAAAGAGATCTGAGAATATATAAGAAATTAATATAGGATCAAAGTGACATTTCAGATTGGTGAGGAGATGATTTATTCAATAGATGATGTTGGAGTATACTTACTGAATAAAGGTGAAAAGGAAAAGCTAGATCCTTGCTTCATTTGTCTCACAAAATAAATTCCAAATATATCAAACATTTAAATGTAAAAACAAGAAACCAGAGAAGTCTTAGAAGAAAACATGGGTTAATATTTTTATATTGAAGTGATGAAAGCATGATAAGAATATCAAGAAGCCATAAAAGAAAAGACTGAGAAACTTAAGGGCAAACTCTACCAGACTCAGACAAACATCTTCACCATATGTGACAAAGGACTAATATCCTTAAAGAATACCTCAGCAGAAAAATGGCAAAAATAATGGCAAAAAACAAAATAAAAACTGGTTAATAATGGGCCGGCCCGGTGGTGCACTCGGTAGAGTGTGGCACTTGGGAGTGTGGCGGCGCTCCCGCCGAGGGTTCGGATCCCATATAGAGACCGGTCCGCTCACTGGTTGAGCGCAGTGCGGGCGCGACACCAAGGGTTGCGATCCCGTTGCTGGTCACGAAAAAAGACAAAAAGGAAAAAAAAAAAAAACTGGTTAATAAGCCTAAAAATATCTTCAACTTTGTTAGTAATCAAAGAATTGCAAGTAAAAGTATAACAGTGTATCATTTTTTTCACTGAGGAGATTTATCAAAATAATAGAGACTATTAAAACACAGTTTTAGCAAAGTTATGGGAACACATCTTCATATACTTTTGGTAGGAATAGAAATTGGTATTCTATTTTGCCCATATATGTTGTATCAAAATCTAAAATATGCATACTCTTTGTCCATTAATCTCACTGTTTGTAATTTGTCCTAAGGAGACAATCTTAAAAGTGTTCAAAGATGTATGCACAAAGATACTTATCAATAATTAGAAAACACTTAAATGACCATCAACAGTATTTAACAAATATTGTTGTTAAGTTATATAAATTATGGTACATATAAACAATAAGATACTATTTAGACAGTAATCTTGGAGTATGATGTCTGATCTAAAGACTTTGATTATCCTCTTACTCTTAGGAATTTGGGCTCCATATATAGGTGGCACAAAGTAGAGTTCTTATAGAGGAATGTTGCCAGAACAGTAGCTAGCATGAGTAGCCAGCCTGTCAAATTAGGAGCAGTCAAGGGATTTGGGACATATTTAGAGAGAAGGAGATTGGATATTGTCTAGGACCAATGGAGGTTAGAAGAAGGCAGACTTTTGCTGACTATAAATATTAGTCTCTCCATTTGTACTATTGAACTATAAGTGTCCCATGATTGGAAGTATTCAAGGAAAGGCTGGAGAGACTATTCAGATCTCCACTTTTATATGACCTCAACAAAATGCCTTTTTTGACCATCCTGCCTAAAATAGCATAAACACCTTCTTTTCCTTTTACCTTGCTTTATTTTTTCTTTACTTGAACACAGCTAGGGATTATATAATTATTTGTCTGGTGTCTCTGTTACCCTCTGGACCAATGATATACATGTATTTATTTATTTGTTGTCTCTCTTCCTCAGAATGTAAGCTCCATGTGGGTAGAGACCTTGGCTGTGTTGTTCTTTGCTATTTGTCACCAGTGCCTGGAACCAGGCTTGGAATATAGTAGGTGTTCAATAAATATTTGTCGAATGAATGAATATTGCGAAAGGGATTCATGCATTCAACTAGGTGACCTCTTCTTGTACTTTACATTTTATGGGCTTTTAATTTTTTTTAAAGGTACTTAAAAATGACGTCATTTGTAAGTCTCTTCAGGGCAGGGATTTATTTTTCTAATAATAAATGAAACTACCATGTGGTGTGCATTAGAGTTTATAAAACACTTTCATAAGCATTATTCAGTGATATAGATGAGATGGATGACTTTTTCTCATCTCTAAGGTCTCAGCTCAGATATTTCCTCTGTAGAGCATCTGTTTATAACTTCACTAAGATAGCTCATAGTCTCTATCATATCACCTCATTTTATTCCCTTCAAGCACTTATCACTTATTACCTTGTTTATTTATTTGTTTATTTGTTGTGTCTCATCATACACCAGAATGTAAATTCCATGAGAGCAGGAACCTCCTATCATACTGCATGACACGTAAAGGATACTCAGTAAACATCTGTTGAATAAATAATTGAGAATGCTCAGATTATGGTGTGTGAATGTTTTGAATTATAATGTTTGAATAACTCAAATTATATGTGTTTAAATTATAAAACATTATACCTATATTAGTTAATATTGATTTTCACAATAATCCCTGGCTGTAAGTATGGACTAGATTTTCTTGTTCTTCATTCTCAAGCAAAACTGTACTATACCTCATTAACTTAAATTTATCATAATTGTGACAGATTATTTGTGTTATTACTTATTTAATATCTCTACTTATTTTCTCTAGACTGAAAGTTTCATGAATTTAGGAACCATGTCTATTTTGTTTCCTCTAATATTTAACACGGTTCTTTGTACTTGGAAGGAGTTTAAATATTTATTGAATGAAGAATGAATAATGTATATGCAATCTTGTGAGATAGATATTATCTCCATCTTTCAGATGAGTAAACTAAGGCTTGGAAGGATTAAGTAATTTACCCTAGATAGCTATAGAAACAAGACTTTAACCAAAATCTTTTGACTCCCAATATCACATTCTTTTAACTACACCAATAGTTCCTAGACACAGGTGTTAATGAGGATTACTGAGGGAGCCTTCAAAGATGTATATTCTCAGGTCACACTTGGAGCCTGCTGAGTGAGAACTTCTGAATGTGGGGCCCAGAAATGAGAAATGAGAAAAATTATTGAGTAAAATTTGAGAATCAATGATTTATAGCAGGAGTTGGCAAACAACTGTTTGGGGGCTAAATCCAGTCTGCCGCCTGTTTTTATAAATAAAGTTTTAGTGGAACACAGCCATGCTCATTCATTTACATATTGTCTGTGGCTGCTTTCATGCTACAGTGGCAGAGTTGAGTAGTTGTGACACAGACCTTTTGGCCTACAAAGCATAAAATTTGTATTATCTTGTCCTTTACAGAAAGTTTGCCAACTCCTGATCTATACCTTGCTGCCTGTCCTATTTCTTTTGTGATTATTTTAGTGCTTGGAGATATGATAGACATATGCTGTCTGGCTCACGATGGGCATTATAGTAGGTATTCAAGTATTCTTCCTGAGTCAATAAAAATTATCTTCTATTGCAATTTACCTGATAATGAGACTAAACCTTGGGTAGCCCAGGCAGTCAAATTTAAGAAAAATACTAATCTAGGTATTGGTTCGAGCCAGTCAGCTGTCACAGTGGGCAGACTGCTTTCAACAAAGAGATGCCTTTTTATTCAGCTGATAAAATAGGTTGTTTCTGAAGTGGTGGAAGGTTTGACGTTTCTGGCCTGTGTACATTATAACATGGGGATTGATTAACATAGTTAATATGTGTAATTAAGAACTGTAATTAATACCTTAATTATTTTGGTACCCCTGATACTGATGTATTCTTAAAACCAAAGTCTCTTGAGTGCTTTTGGTCAGAACTCAATTTAGTATAAGCAATTACCCAGGACTGACCAAACCTGTAGACCTGTGCTGCCTAATATAGTAGCTGTTCACCACATGTAGGTATTTAAATTTAAATTAATTAAAATTAAAATTTTTAATTTGTTTTTTTAAAGATAATTTATTATACATACATGTGGGGTAAAATGTTGATTTTTAATAATTGTGTACAATGTGTGATAGTTAGATCAGGATAGTTAGCTTATTCATCATTACAGTACGCAGTCATTCTTTGTGTCTGTTTTCTTACACTAGCCACGTTTCAAGTGTTATGTAGTTACATGTGGCTGGCTAGCGGCCACCTTATTAGACAGCACAGACACAGAACTTTTCTATCAGTGCAGAAAGTTTTATTGAACAGTGCTGCTCTAGATGCTAGAGTTTGAGTCTCAGTCCAGTGAGATCCAAGACTTACTGTTTGATTTAGTCTTTCATTTGTAAGGATGGAATAATAATTTGTAATGTTTTCTTTTTCTAACAGCAAATAGTGATGAAATTTATTCAATCCTTGCTTTAGGGCCCTCTCAGCTAAGAGCAAATTATTTATTAAATTCTGATAACTTCTTTAAATCTTGACTCCAGGAAATATCCATCTCATTTATCCTATGGACTGTCTAGTCATGATGATTAATCATTGGCCAGTTCATGAAATGGTTCAGAAGTGACTGTGATTTCTGGCCAAATCTATTTGGCTTAGTTAAGGATGGTGGGAAAGGGACTAGTTTTAAAACAGAAGCTATAAAGTCAATAGAGTTTAAAGTCTTGGCATCATCTTTGGAGTGATTTAGATTTCATCATTAGTGACTCATTTTTATTCCCAGTATCTAGTGCTTTTTCCATGGCCCAAAGGGGCCCTGTGCTGCTCAACTACAGAGGAAACTTCAAGAAATGCTGGTTTGCTACAGTGTTTTAGCTTGTGAGAGTCTCTGGGACCTTCCCTGCTCCATCATGGGGTCACCTCTAGGTGGGTATTAGGGGGAAATTGGTAATTGGTTTAACTTTTAAATCAAGAACTTGGTAATCTTTTGTGGTCCATTGAGATCTATATTTAATAGTCTGTCCTTCAAAATGTTTTTCCTGGCCCCAGCATAGTGTCACCTTAAAGATTGTTTCCCTAACCACAGTGTTCTTCAAACTTTGAGAGACTCTAAGGCCGCTTCAGGAGGCTTAAAGATTCTGTAGGCTCCCCAAACTTGTTCTTATTTACTATCATCAGATATGCTTCCCATGTTCTACTTTTCTCTAAATTACCAGATCTTTGTCATTTTGCACCTCAGAGCAATGCAGCTGTAGCTGATATTGGAGTAGGGTAAGGGTGGGTGAGAGAGACCCAGTTTTTAGAGTATGAGGATTCAAGTATAATCTCACTCATCTGGCTTCCCCTCTCCTCAAATCCTCTCACCTCATGTCTCTAGATAGCCTTTCCTTCATTCTTCCTGAGCTGAGATGGTGGAATCCAACCATATTGGTTGTTAAAAGCTGTCACTTGACGGCAGTAAGGAACCCCTCCAGGAGTCAGGTTGTTCAAAAGGAATCTCCCCACCTACTTTCTATCTCTTCTGTTCTGTTTTTCATGAGCTTCCTGGGTACTTCTTTGAGACACTGCTATATCTTGCTCTGGTATTTTGTATCATTTTGGGGTCTTACATGAAAAACACCTTAGGTCATCTTTAGACCATGATTTTAAAACATTAATCTAAAAGATCCACTCAGGTCACCTAGATTCTTCTCCCAATACTCCTTTGAGCCCAACCAGGAGAAAATAAGTTTTCTTATGCTCAAAACCATTCTGCAACTGGCTTAATGTTTAGTGTAGACTGCATCCTGAAGCACTTTTTTAGGAAGTTGACTGTGATAGAGATTTCTATTTCCTTTACAGGTCATTTTACCTGGGACAAATACCTAAAAGAAACATGTTCAGTCCCAGCGCCTGTCCATTGCTTCAAGCAGGTAATTGATTCTCAACATCTTTAGTAGGTGGGAAACAAGTAGATTTTTTCTTGTTCTTCAGACAATCAAAGCATGAGGTGGGAGCCCTTGGGCTTCTCACCTAAGGACCTCTGAATAAGCCTCTATGGGAAGAACACACCTCAAGAAGTAAAATTTGGTCACTGTGAGTTATGGCAGCAAACATTCTCCCCAACTTCATCCCAAGTAACACCCTTTCCTTCTTCTTCACTTCCTTGAGTATATTCTGTGTTACTGAAAACAATTGCTAATTTTTACTATAGCTCTTAATTCAAAGTAGGAGAGTTATAGCCCTTAGACAGTTCTTGAAAGTGTAGCCATATTCCTTTCTCTGTACCCAACAGCCCTCTCACAATCTTATCTTTCTATAAGAATGTTGATACTGAGTCCTGTTGGGGAGCATTTTAGGAGCTCATCAGAAGTCATTTAGCTTCCCGTATAGGATTAAGTACTCCACACATTGCACAGATGATGTTGATTATATCAGTATATGATAAGTGTGGTAAGCAAAGAAGTGTACTGCTGCTAAACAGCTAAACATCAGAAAGTTATTGACATCTCTCTCCCTTCAGTACTGAATGGTTATTTCCTCTGTCAACATTTCACTTTGAATTTAAATTTTCTGTTTTCTAAGTAAAAATACATATTCAGAACTTATGCTCATTTGAAATAATAGGGACTGAATTCATACTTCCACCTGAAACAATTTTTAAAAAGACAAAATATATTAAACAATGGTTTTCAAGTCACTGAAGATCAGGCAACCAAACAGTGATCTCTGAGAGATGGGAAACAAATTAATTGTTCCCCGTCCAGTTTCCCAGCTTGTTGCCTTAAGAGGGTTTCCAGACCATGGCCCAGGGAAGAGGAATCCAGGTTGAGTCCAGCAGACCCTAATTTGAGATGGAACTGAGAGTCCAGGGAAACCACAGTGGCTAGAATTTGCAGGAAAAAGTACTGGAGAGGAGAGACCTTCATGGAAAGAAAACCACAGAGATCTGCAGAGGGTCCACTTCAAGTATTCAGGAAAGTATTACTGTTCAGTGCATGCAAGGGAACTACCTGAGGCCAAAGAAAAAACCATCTGAAAGGATTTAGAAGGAATAGAACCTGGCATTCACACAGGGCTGGGAATAGTTTCTGATCCTACCATCTAGACTGGAAAATCTCATCACTCATTGGATATTGGTAAAAAACTCAGGAAGGTCTTGCTCAGTAGTGGGAGATAATTAGCCTTACTCTGAGCACTGTTGCAGACCTGCCTAACAGATCATAAAAATAAGACTGAAAAGGATCAAATTGTTTCTAAGTAACTGCATCTGGGAACAAAGCACAAGAAGATTTGTAGGAATCCAAGGAATCCAATATGTAAAAGTAAAATTTACAATTTCTGGTATCCATTCAAGATTACCAGGCAGGAAAATGCAACCAGTAATGAAGAGAATAATCAATAAATTGAAACCAACTCAAAACCTTCACAGATTATAGAATAACAGATAAACACATTAAAATAATTATTTTAATTTTATTCAATATATTCAAAAATTAAGCAGGAAGATATAAAAAAGACTCACATTGGACTATTATATGTGAAATGAAAAATACACTGGATGGGATTAATGGCAGAAAAACAGATTAATAAAGTTGAACATACAGCGATAGATGCTATCCAAAAGGAAACACGAACAGAAAAAATAATTTAGAAAAAAATGAAAAGAGCACCCATAAACTGTGGGATAACTTCAAGGTGCCAAATAGACAGGTAATTGGAGTCCCCAAAGGAGAAAAGAGATAGGGGACAGGAAAAAAGTATTTGAAGAAATAATGGCTAAACATTTTCCAAAATTCAGGAAAACTGTAAATCCACAGATTTGGGAAGCTTAATGAATCTCAAAAATAAGAAACTAAAAGAAAACTACACTAAGGCATATCATAATCAAATTGTACAAAACCATTGATAGAGAAAACCTTAAAAGAAGCTAGAGAGAAAAGACTCTTTACATAAAAATTAACTAAGAATGAAATATTTCTTGTCTGAAACAATGCAAGCAAGAACAAAGTTGAGCAACATCTTTAAAGTACTAACAGAAAAAAGCTACCAACCTAGAATATGACACCCAGCAAAAGCATCTTTCAAAAACAATGGTGAAATAAAGATATTTTCAGATATGCAAAAGCTGGAGGAATTCTAGCAGACTCATGATACAAGAAATGTTAAAGGAAGTTCATCAAGCAGAAGAAAAATGATACCAGATGGAATAACAGATCTACACAAAGGAATGAAGGTCACTGGAAATTGTAATTACCGGCTAAGTACATAAGATGTTTTTCTTATTATTTTAAATATCTACAAAAGTTAATTAGCTATGTAAACAATAGCAATAATAATAATGTAGTGATAACAGATGTATAAGTAAAATGTATAGTAACAATAGCATAAAGGCCAGGGGGAGAGATCTAAGTATACTATTGTAAGTTCTTATACATAAAGTAGTATATTGTTAGTTGAAGATAGACTGTGGTAAGTTAAATATATTACTGTAAACCCTAAAGCAACTACTAAAATAGTAGAAAACAAATAGTGAGATGGTAGATTTAAACCCAACCATATTGATAATCAAATTAAATATAAATGGTCTAAATGCCCCAATTAAAAGGCTGAAATTGGCACATTGGATAAAAAGCAAGACCTAATTATGTACTGCCTGCAAGAAATTATACTTTAAAAAGAAAGACAAGTAGGTTAAAAATAAAAGGATGGAAGGCTATACATACTGTGCCAGTGTTATCCATAAGAAAGCTGAAGTGATTATATTAATATCAAAGTATATTTCAGAGCAAAGAATACTATGAGGGATGAGAAGGTAGTTTTATAATGAAGGGGTCAGACAGTCCTTACATGAAGCAAAAGCTGATAGAGTTGTAAAGAGAAATAGATAAATCCAAAATTAATGTAAAGTAAGACTTTTTTATTTTACACATTACTGGATAGAGTCAGACTTTTAATACTCCTCTCTCTGTAATGAAAGAACAAGTAGACAGAAAATTGGCAAGTATATAGTAGGCTGAACAACACTATCACCGAACTTGACCCAATTGACACATATAGAATACTATCCAACATCAGTAGAATATATATTCATTTCAAGTACATGCAGAACATTTATCAAGATAGACTATATTCTGGGCCATAAAATAAGGCTTGAGAAATTTAAAAGGATTTAAGCAATACAGAGCATGTTCTGTGATTACAATGGAATTAAATTAAAAACCAGTAGTAGAAAGTTATCTGAAAACATCTCCAAATATTTGGAAACTAAGTAACACATTTCTAAATACCCCATGAGTAGGGCTGGCCCATGGCTCACTTGGGAGAGTGTGGTGCTGATAACACCAAGGCCATGGGTTCGGATCCCTATATAGGGAAGGCCAGTTAGCTCACTTGGGAGAGCCTGATGCTGACAACACCAAGTCAAGGGTTAAGATCCCCTTACCAGTCTTTTTTAAAACAAAAAGAAAGAAAGAAAAATCTAGGGGGAGAAAGAGCAAGTTAACTCAAAAGTAGCAGAGGAAAGAAAACAAAAATTAGAGTATAAGTCAATGAAAACAATCAGAAAAAAAATAACTGAAAGCAAAAGCTGGTTCTTTGCAAACATCAATAAAATTGATAAACCTCTGACCAGAGTGATGAAAAATAAAAGAAAGGCTGGCCGGCTAGTCCATTTGGTTAGAGCGTAGGCTTATAACACTGAGAACAAGGTTTCAGTTCCCCATACCAGCCTGCTGCCAAAAAAAATTAAATGAGTAAAAAAATAAAAGAAGACACAAATCACCAATATTAGAAATGAGAGGGGTGACATCACTTTAGATTCTACGGATACTAAAAGAATTAAGGGAATATTATGAACAAATTTATGCCTTTAAATTTGACAACTAAGATGAAATAGATAACTTCCACGAATGACACAAATTACCAAAGCTCGGTCAAGAAAATAGAAAATATGAACAGCATTATTTCTGTTACTGAAATTGAATTTATAGATAAAAACTTTCCCACAAAGAAAATTCCAGGCCTAGATGACTTCACTGGTGAATTGTTTCAAACATTTAAGGAAAAAATATTACAAATTCCACACAGACTCTTCAGGAAATGTAAGAGAAGGGAATACCTCCCAAATCATTCTATGAGTTGAACTTTCTGTTACGAAAACCAAGCAAAGACAGTGAAAGAAAAGAAAACTATACAGCAATATTGCACATGAAAATACATATAAAATTCTAAGCAAAATTTTAGAAAAAAGAATCTAACTATATAAAAATAACTTGTCATGACCAAGTGGGGTTAATTCTACAAATGCAGGGTTTAAGTTTCAAAAATCAATCAATGGAATTCACAGTATGAACACACTAAAGAAGAAAAAACATGATCATCTCAGTAGATGCAGAAAAAGCATTCAACAAAATCCAATATCCAAGGGCTGGCCAGTTAGCTTAGTTTGCTAGAGCACAGTCTTATAACCACAAGGTCATGGGTTCACATCTCCATACCAGCTGCCCACCTCACCCCCGAAACAATCCAACATCTATTGCTAATAAAAACTCTAAGCAAACTAGAAATGGAGGACAACTTTCTAAATCCTAAACCCTAAAGGGTATTTATGAACAATCTGTAGATAATATCATACTTCATGGTGAAAGACTAAATGCTTTCCCCTTAAGCAAGACAAGGATATCGCCTCTTGTCACTTCTATTCAGTATTGTACTACCAATGCAAACAGGCCAAAAAAAGAAACAAAAGGGATCTGGATGGAAAGATTAGAACAAACATGAAAAAATATATATGAGGGCAGGTAAACACATGTATAGAGATGCTCAACACCATTTCATTAGGGTAATACTTTTTGAAAGTAATTAATGAGATATCACTATACATTTACTTAAATGGCTCTGATAAAAAAAAGACTCACCATATCAAATAGTTGCAAGGATAGGGAGCAGATGGAACCGTTGTACACTGCTGATGAAAATATAAAATGGTTCAACTACTTTGGAAAATAATTTGGCAGAAAAACTTCAACACACTGTTGAGCGAAACAAAAGCACTAAATAAACTAGGAATTGAGTGATATATCCTTAACTTGAAAAAAAATTTACACTTTGGTACTAAAGCCAGCATTTTTCTCAGTGGTTTAAAATAATTCAATAGAAGACATAATGGAAGAGAAACTCCCATTTACAATAGCAGCCAAAGGAAGGGGAGAGGACAAACAAATACGCAAGACTTATATAAAGATAACTTTAGAAAGCACCTGACCGAAAAGCATGATCCAATAGAAAAAATCATAGAGTGGTCTTTGTCAAAATTACGAACTTCTGCTCTTCAAAAGACACTGGTAATGAATGAGAATACAAGCTGCAGACTAGGAGAAAATATTTGCAAGTCTCATAGCTAAAAGCAGTACTCCCCAAATTGATTTATAGATTCAACACAATACTTATCAAAATCCCAGCTGCCCTTTTTGCAGAAGTTGACAAATCGATCCTAAAATTGATGTAGAAATACAAGGGACCCAGAATAGTCTAAGCAATCTTGAAAGGGGAGAACAAAGGTGGAGGACTCACATCTCCTGATTTCAAAACTTACTACAAAACAGTACTCAAGACATTGCAGTTCTGGCACAAGGATAGACATATAAAGCGGTGGATTAGGATTGAGAGTCCAGAAATGAGCCCATCAATTTATGGCCAATTGATTTGCAATAGGGCGCCAAGACAATTCAGTGGAATTTTCCACATGCAAAGGAACGAAGTTTGGCCCTACCTCCATACCAGGTACAAAAAATTAACTCCAAGTGGATCATAGACCTAAAGGTAAGAGCTAAAACTATACAACTCTTAGAGGAAATTATAGGAGTAAATCTCTTTGACCTTGGTTTAGGTAATGGTTTCTTTGATAATGGCACCAAGAGCACAAACAAAAGAAAAAATAGAAAAACTGAACTTAATCAAATTTAAAATCTTTTGTGTTTCCAAGGACACCATTGAGAAAGCAAAAGGACAAACTACACAATGGGAGAAAATACTTGCAAATCATTTATCTGATAAGGGAACTGTATTCAGAATATATAAGGAACTCTTACAACTCAACAGTAAAAAGACAACATAATTTAAAAATGGGCAAAACATTTGAATAGATATTTCTCCACTATATACAGATGACCAGTAATCACATAAGAGAACTCAACAGCATTAGTCTTTAGAGAAATGCAGAAAAAACTGTTATAATACTTCATATCCATTAGGTTACTAAAATCAAAAAGGCAGAAAATAGTAATTGTTGGTGAGTCATGTGGGGAAATTGGAACACTTGTACAATGGTGGTGAGATTATAAAATTCTGTAGCCACTTTAAAAACAGTTCAGAGGTTACTCACAATGTTAAACATAGTTACCATATGACCTAGCAATTCCACTCACAAGTATATCCCCAAGAGGACAGAAAATATATTTCCATGGGGCTGGCTGGTTAGCTTAGTTGGTTAGAATGTGATGCTGATAACACCAAGGTCCCTGGTTCAATTCCTGTATCAGCCAGCTGCCAAAAAGAAGAAAACATATGTTCACACAAAATCATATAAATATTCATCACATTATTATTCATAAAGCCAAAAGAAGAAACAACCCAAATATGCATTAATTGATGAATGAATAAGCAAAATGTATTTCTATGTGATGGATAATTCAGTCATGAAAAGGAGTGAAGTACTGAAATATGCTTCCATATGGATGAACGTTGAAAACCTGCTAAGTGAAAGAAACCATTCACATATGGCCACGTACCATGTAATTCCATCTGTATGAAATGTCCAGAATAGGAAAATCCATAGGAACAAAAAGTAGATTAATGGTTTCTAGGGAGGTTTCAGGGGAAAATGGCAAGTGACTCCTAATGGGTATGGGGTTTCTTTTGGGGGGATTATGAAAATGTAATAGAATTAGATAGGGGTGATGCTTGCACAACTCTGCAAATATATTAATAACCATTGAATTGTACACTTTAAAAGGGTTTAATTTTCTGGTATGTGAGTTGAACATATACCTACTATATGATCAAACCATTTCACTCTTGGATATTTATGCAAGAAAAAAGAAAGTATATTTCCATGCCAGGATTTGTACATGAATGTTCATGGCAGCTTTATTTGTCATGGCCAAAAACTTGAAAGAAACCAAATTTCCATCAACATGGTATGTATTACTCAACAATAAAAAAAAATGAACCATTGACACATTCAACAATATGGATTAATATCAGAATAGTTATGCTAAGAGAAAGATGCTAGCCAAAAAAAAAAAAAAAAAAAGAGTACATCTGCTATGATTCCATCCAAGACTAGAAAGTACAAACCAAACTACAGTCATAGAAAGTAGATCAGTGGTTGCCTGGGTTCAGGGGTTTGGGAGGGGCCAGAAGAAGGGATTACAAAGAAGCATGTGGCAATTTGAGGGTGATGACCAAGTTTATTATCTTGATTGTGGTGATGGTTTCACAGGTGTATATGATGTATATGGAGTCATGAGTATATATATGTCAAGACTTATCAAAATGTATAGTTTATTGTTATGTTGATTACACTAATAGATTTATAAGTTAATGTCAAATAAGAAAAAAATCAATTCCCAATAGTCAGTCTGTAAGGTAGATATACAGACCAATATACTGAAATGTTCCATGAAGAAACACTTAAGAAAGTTTAATAAGATGTAGTATTCCTGAAAAAAATATGTTATACCTGGAGGGATAGGGAATTGGAGAAGATAGGATAAGAAAATATTTAATTAACTAGACTATGTAAGACACTCATCTTTTTTTTTACTGGTATGAGTCAATATTTGATACTTCATTGTAATTTTTTTTTCTTTATCTTACTTTCCAGTGTCTCTTTTGCATGAAACCTTTCCTAAATATTAGGGAATAATTCAGAGCATTTGTCCCTGGCCCAGCTATAACCAATTTGAGTCCAAAGAATAAATTTTCAGGTTCCTTAAATAAATTTTCATGTTTCTTAACATTCTTACTGAAAATGCAGTTTACTCTTAGTCTGCCTAATCCCCATGGCTTGTTCTCCTCAGTCCTACACACCTCCAAGCAATGAGTTCAAGATCAGCATGAAATTGGAAGCACAGGACCCCAGAAACACCACATCCACCTGTATTGCCACAGTAGTTGGACTGACAGGAGCCCGCCTCCGCCTACGCCTTGATGGGAGTGACAACAAGAATGACTTCTGGCGGCTGGTTGACTCAGCTGAAATCCAGCCTATTGGGAACTGTGAGAAGAATGGGGGTATGCTGCAGCCCCCTCTGGGTGAGTAGAAACTAGACCCAGGCTCTCCCTAACCAATCAGTTAGCTTCTAAGAATTGTGCATCCTTTTACAGGAAAGCCTATGGCTTTTTTTTTTTTCATATGGTTCCCCAAGAAAGACCCACCCAATATGAAATGAGCAGCAAAATCTGGACATCTCTCTTTCTACATTAGCTTATGATATCCAAGGTTCTCTCAAACTCATACCTTTTTTAGCAAGAAACTGTACCCTTTATCTTTCTTTATCAGTGCCCATTTACCCTGAGAGAGAGAGTGAAAGGAGTTCTTGCCATTTAATCTACCTCAAAAAACATAAAGCTGTCACCAAGTTCTTATAATTATGAGAAGGGGTAAGAGAAAAATCTCCCAATAGAAAGGGCAACTGTTATGAGCATCCCTTAATGCCTTTGCCCCAAATTCTTACTTGGTCCTTGGAATTTTCTTACTTTGAATCCATTTTTAAATAAAATTCCTTATTTTACTTGAACTAATAACACCAGTAGATTTTTCTCCTCCAGATTAGATTCACCCGTTGTTGTTTTTCTGTTTTTGTCTTGTGTTTTGCCTCAGTATACCCTAGGGATTTAGCCCACCTCATCGATTACCGTCAGTCACTATTGCAGTGAGTCTCAATGGGGGATAGAGAGAGATGGGTTTATGGGCTTTGGGCTATGTTCCACTCTGGAAGCTGTGCTAGATTAATTGGGGGTTAGAGGGCATGTATTGTTTGAAAGAACTCATCAGGTGCTTGTTTAACACTTTTACCCATTTAAAAAAAGTTATTTGTAATGTAAAATTTCAAACATATACAAAAGTAGAGAAAATAGCACAGTGATTGTCCATCTATCCTTCGTTCTTGATAATTTCAACATATAGTCAATGTAGTTTTATCTGGAGTGTACTTGTACACACTCTCTGCCCCACTCCTGCCGAATTGCCCAAACATAGTGTCATTTTATTATGAAATATTTACTGTTTATCTCTCATAGGCAAGGGTATTTTTAAAGCATAACCATAATATCATTATCACATGTAAATAATGATAATTCCTTGATATCAAAAAATATTTAATCAGTGTTTAAATTTTCCCAATTCTCTTTGTCTCTCTCTCTCTCTCTGTCTTACTGTCTCATTGTCTCTTTTTGTTAAGTTTCTTTGAATCAGGATCAAAATAAGACCCATACGTTGTAGTTGGTTGTTGTGTCCCTTAAGTCTCTTAATTTGTGGGTTTTCCTACTCTCTCATTTTTCCTTCTTGGAATTTTTGATTTTGGGGAAGTGCTTTTAATAATTAATTTTGCTTTATAAATACATAAAATATGTGCATTGTTCTTTTGTTCTTAAAAGTCAAGTCTATAAAACAAAGTATATTCAGAGAAATTCCCTTCATACTATTCTTTCCTTTTATCATAGATAACTACTTTTTTAAATTTTATAGTTTATCCTTCCATTTTTTTTGAAATATAGGGAATTTTATAGATATACTACACACTATAAAGAATGTATGGTATGCTATCATTTATATAAGAAGGCAGAGAAAGTATATCTCTATATACATAGACATATACATACATACTTTTTTCAGCCTTGCTTTTTTGACTTATTGATACGTTCTAAAGATGACTTTGCAGCAGTATGGAGATATTTTCATTACTTTTTACAACTGCAGAGTACTGTATTCTCATGCTACTTTATGAATCAATGTTTAGAAGCATCTTGAGAGGCTATTTAAAAATATAATTTCCCAGGGATAATAGTGACTATCTAAATGAAAATCTTTCCAGAAATCTGAAGATCAAAAAAGAGAGCACATCAGACCATTTATAACTCATGCTTAAATATAACTAGGAGTTAAGAATACTATACATTTCAACTACATGTTAGTGGAAATGTAAAGATTTGAAACCAGCAGAGCCAGTACCAGACCCATACCAGAATGAAGCGTTTATGCTGGTGGAAATTGTATAAAAAAGGGTGAGAGTGAGGGCCAGAACCACCCTAAGAAAGAGATAGTCCCATCCAGAATGGCAAATACTGAGAACAGAGCTAAGATGTAGTGGGTTAGAGTATATGCTACTGGGGAATAAGAAGGGAGAGTCTGAGTTGATAGTGTGAGGGACTAGACATAGCAGTCTTGGTAAGAAACTACTTTTGGGGGCGAGGAAGGCTTACTGTTAAAGGAAAAAAGGAAACAAAGGGTAGAACAAAAGAGTATCATAAAATCAAAAGGCATACCAGTCTTCTCATACCATCCCAAACATGCCCATCTCTTAAAGAAACTATGTTTCACTATGCCAAATCATGACCCAAGTTCCTTGCTAAAATAGAACTCTTGTTTTTGCTGGTCCAAGGAAAATGTAAGACATTTCAAAATGATCAGGAAATAAGTATTAGCAGATAAACAAGTAAACAAGTGTTGGCAGAAAGGAAAAAATACCTTGAATCATAGATTGTAAAAGTCAGGCTGAACATGCACAATAGGCAAGAAGATGTGAAAATAAAATTGTCCAAACTCAAGAAAAAAATTGAAGAAAGACAAAATTGTCTCAACTGAAGACTTAGTTCCAAGATGACCAATATCTAATAGGTTCAACTGAAAATATAATAAGGGACGTTGAGGAGAGAAATAAAAACAGCCAAGAAAATAAAAATAAATACTACAAAAGGTTAAAAAGTATCAGAAAAGAACTGTTAGATATCATACATGGTCAATAAAGATCCAACATATGTATGCATATGTGTATGTATGTATAATTGGAGCCCTCGAAGAAGATAAACAATGGAACAGAGTTAATACTAAAACAAGAAAACTTCCCCCAAATTAAGGATGATCTGAACCTATATATATATTGAAAGGGCATACTTTATTCCTGGGTAAATTGATTCAGATTAGTCAACTCCAAGACATATTCTAGTAAAACTATTCTACTCTAAGAAAAATTGCTTTATGTTTCCAGCAAAAAAGCCAGGTCTTTTCCTAAGGAAAGAAACTCAGGTTTGCATCAGATTTCTCAACAGCAAAATACAAAGTAAAACAAAGTGGAGCAACATTTTCAAGAAATTCAAGGAAAGAAAATAGGAAGAAGGATTTTATATGTAGTCAAGCTGTTGTTCTTCAGATGTTGAGATTATGCACACAAGAACTCAGGGATACTGTAAACCCAAGCCCTTCCTGAGAAATTAGAGTAAGAGCTTTATCCAGCCAAGAGGTGATCAATATAAGACAGAGACAAAGGTAGAAACAAGGGTAAAAGAGTTTGTGTGGCGTGTGTGTGTGTGTGTGTGTGTGTGTGTGTGTGTGTGTGTGTGTGTGTGTGTGTG